TTCGCGCACGGAATTAAATTAAACAAATATAAAAAGAAGAGAATAATATTACGACCTAAGATGCGGCCTAAGATACGTTAGTTTTTAAAATGGTTATTAAATTTCATTGCTTTGGAGAAGAGGCTAGAAGAAAAAATCAGATCTTACTTGTACTACATGTGTCTATCTTTTTCGCTTTTGTTGATCTAAGTGCAGGATGTTTATTATCTAATAAAATCTGGGAAATCTGAAATTTTTAGAGAATTCGCTTGTCTTAAAAAATTGGAGAAGTCTCAAAGAATTTTATTGAAAATCAGGAAATTTTTTGAAGTTGCTTTTTCTAATATTTTGTTTTAATGTTTTAATCGGGAATTTGCCGATTGAATTAACAATCACAATGGACTTATCCATTTGAAACATCAGAGGATTTGATTTCACGATTAATTCAATATTCAGTATTAAAGACAACGATTTTGTGTTAAGTGCAATTTTGTTTAATGAAAACGGATATTTATTTTAAGTTTTATAAAATATTTATATTAACCGATATTTATTTTAATAATTTTAAATTTTGTGTTAGTTATGCATTATATAATTTTTGTTAGTATATTTTAAAGATAAGATTTTAAAAATATTTTTATGCAATATAGAATATTTATTTTTTAGAGTCTTTAATTTTTTTCAAAATTTTTCAAATTTTATTATTGAAACTCGAGTAATTTTTTTATTTTGTGAATAAAAATACTAAGGATTTTGCACAATAAATATATATTTATTTACAAGATTAAAAATATTTTTTAGTTTACTTGGAATTTTTAACAAATTACCTTGAAAATTAAAGAATTCTCAGGGAATTCTTTTTAGAATTTGAGCAAATACTTTAAAGTGATCATTACAACTAAACAGAGTTATTTAGAGATTCCTGCATATATTCTTTACTGGTTTTATTTTATTTATTAATTGAGCAAATGATCAAATATCTTATGAGAATCGAGAAGTGAAATTAGATCAATTATTAATGTGATAATAATAGCGTGATTAAAAATAGTATTATTGCGAATTTGCGGAAAAAAATAATCGGAGTATAATCACGAAAATAATATTGAGAATAAAGTTTTATTAGGTATTGTATACGTGTGTATTGTGTACACTGCAGAGATAACTCCCTTGTGTATTTAATGTGTAACGATAAACCGTACCGCTATGGTGGAAATTCAGCCACTAATTATTTAGTGGTACTTACGTTTAATTGGATCGTTAAAGAAACTATTAGACGCACAGTTAATTCGTCCGGCGCGGTTCGAAGCATGCTCAAAATGGAAGATACGCCTATTGTTCATGTATATTGCAATATTTCAATATTTGTGATATATCGCCTATAAAAATCATCATATTTAAAGAAATTGAAGAAGAATATGTATTATTTAATATACTCTATATTTGTGATATGTCGCTCTTAAAAATAATCAAATTTAGGGAAATTGAAGAAGAATTATGTATTATTTAATATACTCAACTATGATTCTAAGATTCATAGCTCTTTGCGTACACATTTTCTACAATTATACGAAAACAATGCTAAATGCAGTGTTATATTACATTGTATTATAATAACATACGTGCTTATATAAAAAATTGCATTTATATACGTGAAAAATCAATTCTTTATTTTAACGACAGGAAAGTTAAAATCTCTACTCTTGACTATCCAGAATGCACATATTAATTATCTATTAATTATCTTCCGTTACTTAATAATTAAATAATCTTACCAAATCGTCCAGAAATTTCGTCACTCCATTTTATATCCTGCATCGTACATTTCATTTTTCGTAAAGATTTGACTTTTTTAATTCTTCATTTCGCATAATACATTTTAATAATGTCCGCGACAAAATAACGCGAACTTAATAATTATATACATATTTCCACAGCCGATGTACTCAAAGAGGTTAATATTTGCTCGCGGATATGGCAGACTCCAGCTATTATTACGCAATGCACTGCTAGCAAATGTAAACGTATAACGTATACAAAGATAGAATAAAATAACATATAACAATGAAATATCTTCGATATACATTTCCGTTCGTAAATACTTTCTGTAATTTTAATAATTTAATATAATATAATTAAAACAAATTTTTTATTTGATATTGATTACTTCAATATATTAGAAAAGTAAATAAATAGAAAATTGTAAATCTTACAAGCGTGTATTTCCAAAATCACAATTGCGATGATCTTTGTGTCATTCGCAGAATTTAGTTACATATCGCTTTGTGCACGTACGTAATAAATTTCTGGGTCTAAAAATAACGTCGAGGAACGTACTCGCCGACGGCAAACGTTTCTTGGAGAGAACAAGGAAATTATTATCGTCTATCGACAACTTGAGTTTCCTCAATAAATTATTCCAATCATCTTAACGAATGAAAATGAAAAAGGATGATTTAACGTAAAGATCATTTTATACAATGAATATTTTAGTTTAATATTTGCTATTTGCATTTAATAAAATTGTTACTAAAATTACTTAAATTTGGCTGTTTTAATTTGTAACTTTTATATCTTTTAATTAATAAAATAAATTAATAAAATAATCTGTTTTATTACGACATATCACTTTGACCAACTATGAATGTATCGTGATTGATGACGTTTTTATTTTCATTGCATGAAAGTCAAATTGTGTAACAGAATCACTTCCTAAGAAAGATCGACTTTTCATGAATGTGATAACTTCATAACCTCATAACTTTTCATATTGCGGATATAATATTTATTCATTTTCAACTATTTTAATACATATGTTTATACGCACTTCTTAGACATTAAGTAGATAGATTAAGTAGATAGATAAATATTAAGAATATTTTTTTTGTCTCGTTTCTTTTCGCTTCTCTCTGATTTGAATATCGAGAAGAAAAAAAGACGAACGTATGTATTTCGCATACATACCTGCTGTTTATTCCCGTTCGCGCGTTCTTCATTTCATTCGACTCGTTCTTCCATTCCTGGTTTTTCTTTACTCCTCGTCCCGACGACAACGTAAGTGGGTCACGGTGATGGGAAAAACGGATGGGAGAAAGGGAAACGTGTGCCGAAGACGAAGGCTCTGTTCTTCGTTTGTCCGGCGATTAGCTCGGTATCGTTTATCAGATTAAACGGATTTTAATGCTTCCCATTGTCCGATGTATGTCTCAAGAGTTCTTTTCTTTTCCTTCATCTATCTGCACCTGAGACTTTCTTATGCATCAGAATATCTGGGATGTACCATCTCCCCGAATATTTATAACATTTCACATTTGACTTAGAAAATAGAATAAATATTAAATAACGCTGCTTAAATTTAATTTTAAATCATTTTTTCTTGGCGATAAATTTCCGTTAATTGTAAAAATTTTAACAAAAGATTTTTTGTCTATATTGTATTTTTTTATTTAATTGTATTAATAGAATTTCATTAAGTTTCTGTCAAAATGTTAAGTTACAGAGTATCCATTTAAATTTGAAAAAAATTCTCTGATTTTCAAGGCAATTTGTTAAAAATTACAGGTAAAATGAAAGTATTTTAAGTATATCTTTATTTTGCACACTAAATAAATATATATTTATTGTGCAAAATTCTTGATATTTCCCATTGATAAAAGTTCATAAATCATAAAATAAAATTAAGAATTATTCGAGTTTCAATAAATTTGAAAAATTTTGAAAGAAACTGTAAGGATTTTAAAAAATAAATATTTTATATTACATAAAATTTTCAAACTTTATTTTTAAAAGCTACAAACAAAAAAATTATATAATGCATAACCGATACAAAATTCAACTTTTATAAAGCTGTTAAAATAAATATTCATCTTTATTAAGCGAGATTGCGCCCAACATGAAATTGTTATCTTCAATATTAGGATTAATCATAAAATCAGTATGCTCTGACGAATGCATGTTCTGAGATGATTCTAGACAGGTTTATTGTTATCGTTGATAATTTAAGTTAATTATTTTATAATCAGTAAACTCCTGATTATAATGCAAAGATAAAATATTACGAAAAGCAATTTCAAAAAAGTTCCTTAGTTTTCAATAAAATTTTTCGAAAATTCTAATTTTCTTTCAAGGCATAAATAAATTCCTTAGTTTTCAATAAAATTTTTTGAGAATCCTAATTTCTTTCATAAATAAATTTCAGGTTTTTCAAATAGTAAGTTTTTACAGATAGTACAGACGCTCTGAAATTAAATAAATTGGTAACATTAGGTAATTGTTTCAGCAGATTAATTTGTGAAGAAACATTTCATTTGAAATGAGAAATATTAATACCTCGACATTTTCACCAAATGAAACGTAGGAGTTGAAATTTTTCATCGTTAAAGGTCAATAAATTTAAATAGAGATGAAAGCTTGGCGCATAATCCGTATGATGCTGTAGAAGCAAATGGCTAACATGAGCTGTATCGCTTAGTTGGACTTATGCTACGTATCTTATTGATCGAGACGCTTATGCTTTTATGTAACTTTGCGCGCGCGATCGGCTTAACGAGATCGGACTCGATGGCGAGTCGAATCGATGCCGTTATCGAAGTAACGGCATGAAACGAGGCGGTAACCGTATGGAGATTGGCCGAACGTTTATGCATGATAAAGTGCAACACGCCGCGGTTAGGATCGCGGGGTCGTTATTATGCTAAGAGACTACGCTATTATATCTCAAAATCCGAATACATTACTCACCGACGACGTCAGAGATACAATTTCTATTGCCAACGTCTGATTTGAGTACTGATATAAAATTCTACTTATTTTATTAGGGTCGCGATTACCGTGCGCGCGGGCACCGATAGAACGATCAGATATACCACTTTGAATTGTCACTTCTGTTTCAGAGGTAATTTTCAGCAGCTGATTTCATGCGATTGTCACGAATATTCTTCGAGCGAAGATGTGCTCGCGTGGCTTCGAATGAACCAGGTTATTGAAATTTTTCAGAGTCATACCTAGTTCGTAGCTTACAATCTCATGGGTATTTTGTATCTGATCAATTTTTATTTCTGGAATCTATTCACGGAATTTCGAAGGTAATTAAGTTGTAACTAAACTTTACTTTTTTTCAAAATAGAATACAATCGGTCTAGAAAGTTGAAAGTATGTTCACGAATTTAAAAAAATTTTTTAAATAAATGAAAAACGAGATACCATACCAATTGTAGGAAAAAATATCTTTAGATTACATTATAAGAGTTTAGTAAGCTCTATTGCATCAGGACAAAAAGGGTAGATTCGTGGCAGAACCTTCGCAGCATCACCGTGATCGCACCGAACGGCGTGCGCGAACCAATTTTTTTCACCGTAGCCTTCACACAGCAGCAGCAACAGCAGCAGCAGCAGGAGCAACGGTGATGGTCGCGGTGACGGCAACGGCGGCGTGAAGTGAGCGGCGGGTGTGTATGAGAGTAGGTAAATGTGCGGAATCGCGATTGGTTACGGCGGCGCCGTTCGACCAATCAGCGCGCGCGGCCGCGAGCTTCGCGCGCACGGAGCCGGCACCGCGGTCGAGGCCGACTTCGTCAGTGTCGAGGTAACTCGCGAATCGGAGAAAAAAAACTGACCGATAGATTCGTACGATCGAGCGCGACGCGGCTGTCGGACGGAGGAAATGCGACACATGCGGCTATTTCGTAACGACGAGAGAGTGGACGGAATACTCGACGAGAGAGAGAGCGCGCGCGCGCGCGCGCCAAATGAGACAAGGAGGTGAAGTTCGCAAGATGATAGCGATGAACGGAAGAGAGAGAGAGGAGAGAGAGCGC